TTTTTTATCTCCGCCGTTCGATTAAAATGCAAGCTCTTTTTTATGCCCGCAAGCACTCCACAAAGTGTAAACGCTACACTGCTAAATTCGTTCGCGACGTATAATTATCACACGCGGTGACACACGACATCATTATCTGTGAAATTTATTGTGCGCCGACAACATACATATTGCATAAACAAAAAAGTATTACGAAGCAATAGAATTTAATGAGAAACGTTCGCAGCGAATGGAAGATAATATTATTTGTATTCTAGAAATTTTTTAGCTTTCATTTGTGCATTTTTTTTCGCTTCGATTAAACTTCATGAAAAATTTTAATATAACTTTCCACGCGCGTGCATGCTGTGTAACTTTATATTAATAAATTCAGAAACTTGTTAATATCACTGATCTTATCGTCAATTCGCGTAGGTATTATGTCACAGTTTATATACGGTATAAAATATAACTCTTTTATGCAAAAATGCCAAAAAACGAATATGTATGCGTGTCACGAATCACGATTGTCTCGCTACCTAAAATAATCTTCTATTTATGCCATTTTAAAAAAGTAATTATATTTTAATAACACGTTATCTTTTTATTTCTTGCCTCATGATATTTATTATCTTATCTGTACATCTATAATTATTTATGTACATATTAATAAATACGATTACCTATTTATATAAAATAAATTAAAATTATTAAAATTATTAAAATTTATCATGTAATCAATGTTGCTAGTATAGAAAAAAAATTTTAGAATAATATTCTCTATAAATAAATATGTCACGTAGTACGTTATAAGCGCTCAAAAGTTTGTTTATCTAAAAATCATGCTTGGACAATCAGAGTGTAGATTTTATTAGAATTCACGTATTTTTCATATTTTTAGTTTTCTGGACTGATTCTCGTTAATAACAAGATTATATATAATTGTACAAACGATAAACTCGACATCAATTTCCGTTCAGTGAATATCGCTGGAATAACCGCGGCTGTAATTCATCGGTGGGGCATTAACGACGCGTCTGTGCAGAGTAGATTTTTTTTCGAGGCCAAGACGCTTGCAAATATTGCCGCCCGTACGTACGTAACGACGAGCGAAGTCGAACGAAACGATCAGGTCGACTCGTGCGGCCTGCCGCAAAATTGAGAGTTAACGAACCTCGACGAAACCGCTGACACTCCGGGTTGCATAATCCTGACGACGGGTGTACACCCATGTATACACACGCGTACAAATACAGCGTGTCTAAAAAATCATTCACTTTTCCTTATAAATTACGAGACAAATTTTGGATTCCATTTTTTGTCGATAATTAATTCTGAGATTAAAGATTTGCTTGTTAGAAAAATTCTAATTCATTGTGAAGACTATTCGCATCTTTAGAACTTCCCGATTTACTATTAAACTTTTCATTTTACGATTTAATAGATAATTATGTCGGAAACGTGCAGATTTCCATTTTTCTCACAATTAGCGCGGCTGATATTTGCAACTCGAGATAATACTGATTTCTGGGACATTCCGTGCGTACATTATATACGCAAACACACACTTTGCAATTTACAGCTTGCGGCCTCTCGCGCGCAATCTGCGGCTGCGAATGTGCGATGTGTCTAGTCTGAGAATGTATATGACAGGTAATTTATTCACCTGCGAAATATCGGGACGAATTCGAGTTTCCGCGCACGTACTACCAATAGGTTGTTTCCCTAATTGCCTGGTTAGTCGTTTAATGGTTTGTTTACGAGGCGGGAGAGTGGCGCAGAATTTCAAATCTCACGATCACCGGTGAGGAAATATCAGCTTCATGTTTACAAATCACGATAACGAGGACGCATTTTAAAAACGATCGTTCGTGGATCCGAGTTTTCTTTTATATTATTTAATGAACGTTCACGCAATGATCTTGAAATTTAACGGAGCGGTAAATCCTTCGGAAGAGAATTTTGAAAAATATGTATAGGCCATAGGGTGGGAACACACTAGTAATACATCTGATTGATTTCTCGTATAAAAATAAGTCGAAAATGCAGAATTAACTTTTTTTTGTTTGAGACTTTATTGCAATTGTTGGAAATAAATAAAATTTCACTATTTGTCGCATTTTTTATTTAATCCTGTCACTCGTGACAGAAATGTGAAGTCATGTGAATGTTATATAAATATGATAACGTTTACAATGTCTTTCCACAGCCTATATCTTTCATTAAGTGTACTCAATGCGATTTTCAAATTTGATTTTCTCGGAAACAAAGCTTTGGATGAAAGAAGATTATTTTGCACTTTTGATTTATTTTTGTGCATCAAGAAATCATCCTCCATGAATTATAGATTTATTCTTTCCTTATTCTATATATGAAATGGAAAATTTTAACGTTGTTTACATCGTACACGGCGGAATATTTAAAATAATCATTTCGCTATCCTTTTTATAAACTTTCAATTCGTACTACAAATGAAAAATGCGTGTTGAGAATATTTTTTCCGCGCCTTCGGCGACATGAACGTGTTGACGCGTCAAGTGATTCGCCGAAAGGAAATTTCATTTATGAGTCATTCCACCGAGGAATACACCTAGTACCTCGACCTGGTACGTCGACGTATTTCACGGGAATAAAATCCTTATACGTCAGTGGCCATTTCTTGGCACGAATTGCGGTGCACCATACACCACGGAAGGCGTTTTCGTTTCGTTATGGGGCAGGATCGATCTACGGGCCGCCATCGAGACAAGGGAGAGCCGAGAGCGTTTTCTGGTATCACCTTATGGCGAACGGCAGATGTGCACCCGTGTTCCTGTCCCTATCTCCTCCCTTTTCTGTCCTCCCCTCTGACTCTACTCTGACCCACCGCACCGTCGGCCGCCCTTCCCCGTTAGGCGTATTCTCTCTTTCTCTCTCTCTCTCTCTTTCTATTTTATGGACTCGTCGCCCCCTCGTTGAGCGAGAGAGATCTCGGGTCCCGTATATTTACCATAAGGCCATAAGCATCGGCGAATACCTAAACGACATTTAGCGACTACGCCACGGCTTTCTAATGCTACCATTACCCGAAAACTTTACCGGCAATAAATATGCGAGTCGGTCGCTGGTAATAAAGGAGCATGTTATCGCGTAAATCATTGTTGAATTACTGATACTCAGCCCACCCGTCTCTGCAAATGCCACGTCGTTATTGAACTGTACGTTTCGGTTTCCTTCAAACCATCATCAGCGAATACATGAATGTTATCGAAGATATCCTGATTCAAATATAATAATGTTGGAATTCCTATCCATTTACGACTGAGGGTGAGCAATTTCCAAACTTTCTGGTTGGGAAAAGCATTAAGTCTCTCCGTTACAAAGCCAAGTGACTGACCTGAGTCTCTCATTCCCCACAGATTTAATTTAGTTATTCCATACGTAGGAAGTCAATGGTTTAAAGGAAACCGAAACGTACGAGTAATACGGATAATATGGTACAGATAATTATTGTACATTTATATATTATGTAGACATTCTTGTGTCAATTATATTGGAATAAAATATAATTTAATATTTAAATTTATTCAAGTACAAAAAAATATTTAAAAATATAAAAGAATACATGTACATCAAATTAATCTTCCAATGTTGGACAATGTTGGACTTTTAAAGCACAGTCGACTTTTTTATTGTAAATTCTACGAAAATAAACAAATAGCAGGGTTCGGTATAATACAGCCTTTTAAAATAATTTAATAATGTTAAGATTGTGTGTGTGTGTGTGTGTGTGTGCGCGCGCGCGCGCGCGCGTGCGTGCGTGCGTGTGTGTGTGTGTGTATACAAGGATGCTAGTTGTTCGTTTCGTTGAAAGGACGAATAGAAGTTGTGCTTCTATCGTGATACAAATTTGTTGTCAAAGATTTCACAGGTATACAACAATTTTTTCTATATGTCTATAATCCGGAACAATAAAAAAATCTATTGTGAACTTTGATTTGTAAACAACAATAAAAAATTTCATCTGTAATAAAATAGAAGATTTTTTAAATAAATATAAAATAAATGAATTTTTGACTGAATGTTATTCCAAATTCGCGATTTCCTGCCCAAACAATAGCAGGACATTTTCTGTGTTGGCATTAAAAGCATATTTTACCATACCATTTTGCTCCTTCTAATTCAAGAACATGAAAATAATACTGGCCCTCCTCTCTCCGCATGGCGTCTTGTAGGTATATTCGATCAGGCAACCACAAAGGAAAGTAAATAATTATCTCTCCTGCCGATACGGACAGATAGACGGGCATATATAAACACGTAGGTAAAGATTTCTGTAGCTAAAGATTATTACTATAGCCAGCAGGACGCACAACGGCTTACCCAGGTATATAAAAAGAAGTTAATGGATCTTGATGAGACAATCTTAGGGTCGAGATCGCATCATTTTTAGGATATTCTGAAATTTTAAATACAGGTTACTGTATTAACAAATATATTTAATAAATAAAAAGAAAAATAAATTAATTATTTTTTTACTAGTAGGTTTTTTACTGACTCTAACATAATACAATTGCCTATGACTTTGTCTTTACACAAAACGTAATTTAAGTGACAAATTACATTTGCTAGAGTATGATGTACTATATTTATAGAAAATCGAATTTTCTATTATAACTTGGTCTTAATAGTCAAAGGTTTATAAAGTATGATTTCGGTTTTTAACATTTAATTTTTACGCAATTAATTCAATTTTTATTTTTAGTTTTTTTACTATTAATTTTCCGAGATATAATAAAAATTTTTTAAAAATATGTAACATTAATCTATATAGCACATATATATGTAAAATTCAATATTATAATACTACATTGTCATTATGTATATAATTATATTATATTTATAAGAAATATTAACAAAAACATTATGAAAAAAAAAATTTCGAAATTATTAATTCACAAAATAAAGGATGATCCAATCAATACGTTATGTTAATCAATCACACGCAACCTTTAACGGATTTCTTTTACTGTTCTATATAGTTCCAATGAAGATTCCATTATCATGGATGAAGAGGAGCAGGCGGAGAAGGAGGGTTCACGCAACTGAGTTCGCTTTATGCATTCGGCACCCGAATCCTCGTTTAGATTCTACCGCTTCTGGGATCCCAGACACGATGAAGAATCTCGTACAACGGACCTTCCTGACATTCCTGCGAGTGAGCATCGACGACAGAATCTGGACGCGTCCCGTTTGAGAGCCCGCGAATTCCGCGGCCGTCGCTCGACCGCGGGACGGCAAACTGGAATCGAGGTCTCCCAGGTTCTTTTGATGGGTGGAATAAAAAAATGGGCGGCGCTTTGGATGTGCCGGGGCCCGATCTAAGCCTGAGACGGGGCGAGCCGAGGCCGGACCTTAGATCCGTCGGTCCCTTTCCCTCTCCTCTCGTTCGTTCGGACCGCTTTCTTCCCCGCGCGTTTCGCCTCTCGCCCGTGTTCCATCGATGGAAGAGAAACAAGGAGGGGAATGGAAGAACCGGCGAAGGGGGCAAGTGGATGAAAACGGCCAACCACCGGCAGCCTGCGCGGCGACTCACGACAGGAATATCAAGAGATCCTGCTATACGGACCCGGACAAAGGCAGCTGTTGTTGTTGGTGTTGTTGTCGACATCGTCTTCGACGGTCGTCGAATAAAGTTATGGCTCTACCCGCACCCGTTTGTCCTTGTTAGGCTGAGAAGCCCTGAGGCTCTGGATCGAGTCAGAGTATTGATATCCTTTGGAGAGGGAAGCTGCGCCGTTTTGCAGCGACGCGTGTCTTGATATCGAGATTATAATGACTTGTAATGAGGATCAAAAAGGAAGAGAAACGAGATATCCAAAAATCAGAGGCATGATTGTAATGAGTGAGAAAAACTGTATCTTAACTTTGCTGACTTTTTTTGCATGATAGCGATTTATTTTTTAATCGATATATACTTTTTTTTACTTAATTACAATTTAGTCGTAATTATAAAATTATATACGATTATATATTATTCTATTTAACAGAAACTCGAAATTCGATATTATTCACTGATTGCTAGAAAGTGCAAATTTTTAGCAACATTGCATATCATTGAATTTCCTACATATAATTATTTTGACGATCCAACAAAATTATTTCTAGATCTGTATCTACCTAAATTTTTAGATATTTCAGTAAAATTGTTGTTTCCGTGTAAAATCTGTGTAAATCTAATTTATATTAATTAAAAGGCACTAATTAATTTCAAGGAATTAAAATAGCATAACTCACATAAAAAAAAGAATGAATATATACACTCAGTATATTTTAATAAGAATAATCCACATTTGCAGAGGTAACGTAAAGAAAATTGAATTATTTGACATTTTTGACAAAAAGATTTATAATTGAGTAGGTCCAACTAACAGACCCACCGTCAGTTCCGGAGGATTAAATTCTCATTCCACGACCAATTTCGATTTACGCTACAATAGATAGAAGGAGTTGTGCGAATTTATCCCAGTTGGCAGTTTCTTTGCCGGGAGAGGTGACCGACCGATTCCGACTCCCGACGAATCTTCAACCCATAAATTCTAATCATAGAATTGCAGATCGCGAGGGGCCGGCGCTCGTATAAAGTCGGTGCGAGAGCTGTTTGCGTGATTGCCGCGCGGCACTCGTCCTTTCCCTCACCTCTCCTTCTACCGAAAGGCTCGACAACCCTCGGGAGAGACGACGACCCGATAAGCGGAGTCCGCGAACGGGAGGCGAAAGGGAGACACCGCGGGAATGAAATATCTCCTCTCGCTGCCCACCGGTAGGAGAAGAAGATTCTCGTTTCGTTGGGTAACACACGCGCGTGCCAGCGTGCGTGACGCGCGCGTCCGCGACTGTGTTCGCGGCTGGCCGGTACGTATTAATCACGCGATTCGTCCATAACCGTATTTCAGCTCGTTCGCTTACTCGAGTCAGGCTTTTAGCAACCGTGCTTCGTGCGACCGGCTCTTTCTCTCTTTTCCTCTTTCACGACGAATTTTTCTTTTTTCACGATTACTTCTTACGCGCGGATTTTTGCCAAACTGTCGTCTCCCGTGTATGTACTATGTTTTATACTTTAATGTGTACCTTTTCCTTCGTAAGTGTTGTCTCTGCTCGAGACTTATACCTTCTGAAAAGGATGTTGCTCGAGATTATTAATTCCCGCGACGAGCGCTAGACTGAGAAAAATTTTTCTTTAAAAATGAACGAACCAGAAGATTCTGATCATATCAATCAAAATTCTGGTTATCTCAGCGAGAATTATAATTAATAAATTCAACCAGAATATTCTAATTGCATCTTCAATCAGAATTCCAATTAATGCAACCAGACTTTTTTCGAATTTAACTTTTTACGAATCATACCGGCGCAGATCTCATTGGCTTTACCACTTTTTTGCTCATTCAATTTGTAAAATGAAAACATGAATACGTTCAAGTATTTTTGATCAAAATACAGTTTAAAAATATTGCTTGTTACATACAAAGTTTCGGCCATTATTAGCTAAATTTCATTTAACGAGGCGTGAACATTCTGTAAAATTATCTTTAAGTCTATTCGCATTGTTTGAAATTCCCCAAAATTTTTAGGATCTCTTTCACCAACCTCGGTTAAGTTAACCGACGGTAAATGGATTTATGTATCGTATAGATCGTTTAAAATCTTAGAACAGTGTCTACACAATTTTCTCGTTCAATAATTTCTTTTGAGAATACCTGTATTTTTATTTATTTACATACCTGCACTTTTTGCATCCAGAAGCTTTGTCTCTTTAACTTTCGAATGTATTTCTCACACTTTAAGGGTCTTTCACCAACCTCGGTTAAGTTAACCGACTGGGCATTCAGGCCCAGTTTCACAATTCATTATTACTTAAAATAAGTTAAACCTCGGTTAAAAGTTAACCATGAGGTGTGAAAGAGCCTCTTAAAGTGAAAAATATATTCGGGTGTTGAAAAGAGAAAGCAAATATTCTGGATACAAAAAGTGCAGGCAACGCAAATAAATAAAAATAATGATAGAAATTGAAAGAAATTATTGAACGAGCAGATCGTGTGAACACCGTTCGAAGATTTTAAACGATCTATACGATACATAAATACATTTATATTAAACAATCACCGCGGTCGAGCGGTAAGCTGATTGATCGAATTCCCGAGACTATACTATAACGTATTCAATTTCGCGACTGCAGGCCAGTGCAGGTCCAGAGAAACGCGAGAGGAACAGGGACAACGAGTGCGTCGATGAGAGGGTGAGGAGAAAGAGAGAATCAAGAGGGAGAGTGGGAGAGTCTGAAACGAGTATCGTAAGCGCGGCGAAGAAACTATAGTGAATTTCGTCTTGGGTGGTCCAGGATCGGCAGCGGGGCCTGTCGCGTCCCCGCGCCGCGCGAGCCACCTCGTCCTCCTGGGCCCCTCGGCAACCACCGTATCCCACTACACCACCCTACACGACGGCGCGGCGCGGCGGCACTACGCGAGGCGAAAGGCCACTTCTCAAGCTATATCGCAGCCGCTACCAGCCGCGAGTGGAACGCCAGAGACGGCCCGCCGTGCTCATTTGTATGTCTGTAATTAGATAGCCACCCCCTAATACGATCCCCGCGCGCGAGTGTTATTATTTTCAGCCACGAAGAACGCACCGGTCCTCTTCGTAAAGGAACGTCGGGCTCAAATCTCTCGGTCTTGTCGATCTTCCTGCGGCCTGAAAGAGATGATCCGTTGCACGATTGCTGCTCTCTCATCGCGAAGCCGAAATATACAGCTGTTACGAATTCTTGCGATACGCAAGAATATATGAAGGCAGGATTAAAAAATAACTTTGAAATTGTTTTTCACTCGAGTGATCTTTGCCAACTTGTATCGTCCTTTGGTTTTGAAGATTTAATAATTCGCAACGTTAAATTTGTTACTATTCATAGTTTGTTCATTTCTGCTCTTTTGTATCTGACGCTTTTCGTGTCTAGGACTGATTTAACATATTTAATAGAGAAAGAAGCTATACTTATATCAATGATGATTTATTTTGGATATATTATACAATCGTTAACTTACATTAGATGGTGGTTTTGCGTGTGGGTAAAAATTCCAAATGTTAATAACTACCAATCTAAATGACAAATGAGTTAAGTGCACGTTGCGCATTCTTCACAGCATTTATTACTAATGAAAATTACACATAATAACGGGACCATCGGGTGAGTTTATTTATTACTCAATTTTGTTTACGCACGAAAATAATTACAACTATGATTGTTAATTTCGGCTTATCCGCGTGATAAATGGAGAGGGACTGACTTTTTATTTTTAATATTTTATTGCCTAATATAAAACTTTACTAGATCCTGCATCATCTGTCCTAAAAATACGATAATTAAATAATTGTCGAAATTAAAATTATTGTTTCACAAAGCTCACTTACGATTACATCAGATTTTAATTCCATTTATAATTTTATGGATTGCGTATTTTTAAATGTAAGTGCAAAAGGTTCGTACAGGGGAAATTTGTATTAAAAGAGCCTCATTTGTAGATAATAAACATTAATTAGCAATTTTATACAAGTACGTTCTGTCTTAATGTAAATAAAAGAACTTTGTATGTTTATGACTTTAGAAGCTAATTTTTTCCAAATGAATATTTTTTGTGTGTCCAAATAATACAACTTTTCATTTTATTTTTATGACAATATATTTTAATTATTATACATTTTTTTGGTAAAATAATTTTAAGAAATATTTACACAATATATTTATTTTAGTCTTTATTAATAAACTGCTAATTAATATTTATTTTTTTTAAATAAGGTTTTTTTTTAAAGACTTCTCCGTACAAATATTTTATGTTTTCCAACTCTTTGAATGTTTTTTATGTTTAAGATATAATACATAAAATTATTAAATTGAATTCTACTATATACGAATTATGGACCGTGAGTTTAATAGCTAATCTTTTTTTGGCAAACTACATAAATATCTGTTTCTTCTACGTGATGTAAGATATTTTAATCGTTTGTATTTATACCGAGGGAACAGCTAAGATTTATTTGCGCTAGTGAAATGATTCAGTAATAAAGCGCGCGTCGCAGGGGAATTAGATTACCGAGGTCTACAAACAATAGGATTCAATTAAACGGCATA